ATATGTGGATGCCCCCGAATGCCCGACATCCAGGCCGCTCCGCTCAGTACAGCACTTATGGGGACGGCCGCTCGCCACCTCCAGAGAATGGCGCCAAATCGCCACAACGAACGACTTGTACCGAGCAGCAGTACTAATCATGTATATGTGTCTCGCCACGGGGACACGTGGTGTGTTGGAACATCCAGTGTGCCCTCCAAACTCTGAGGCTCCGAACTCTTGGTGTCTCAAGGAAGCCAGACATCTCAGAGAGGTCGGAACCCATGGTTTTTCCGTCCAAGATGTCTTCATTGATCAGTGCATGTTCGGCTCGCAATCGACGAAACCGACACAGTGTCTGGCAATCAATCTGCCCAGTCTTGCCCGAGAGGCATCACATATGTCACGAGGCGGTCGTTGCTGCCATACAGGTGGACACACGACGCTCGATGGCATTTCAGAGGCTCATCGGCGCACCCAGCAGGCGAACCAGTATCCTCAGGACCTATGTGCAAAACAGGCCAGGCACTTCGCATTGCATTGTTTTCAGAAGCGGGACGGGGGAGGTTAGGTCTTCAGTGCCGACAAGTCTGATGTGACCCTCCAACTCCCCCTTGCACCCGATCTGGACAGTTTCATCCGTCCCCTGGACCCGTACCACGCGCACACGGACGGGACGTAACCGCATGAAGCTATGAAGGATCCCCCCGGGGATATCGTTAGCACCGCACCGTAATTAAATAAGTGTGGGGGGGCGGTTTTCGCCGAACGATAAAGTTAGCAGCGCGCAAATGATCGAAAATAACAGATTCCCGCGCCCCGACTCGGGTGTTATCCACATTGAAATTGGAATAGGAATGAGAATATGAATACTAATGGCATACGAATAATAAGAACAACGATATGAATCCGAATAGTAAGAATTAAAGAGAAACATAATGAGGATACGGATAAGAGTAAGAATGATGATACTAATAAAAGTAATAACAATATTAAGTCTACATATAATAACAATGATATCATGCCTAATCCGAATAAGAATGCGGATAATGATACTACTCACACTCAGAATAATAACAATAATTGTTTATCATTATCTTCTTCTTCATCCTTGTCCTATAGGATTTGTATTACCACTCAAGTTGAAACATTGTTTTTTTCCCAGCCGTCGTGTGGGGTCGTGCATCCGAGGATATCGCCCCCGCCATCACTGCGCGTTATCTTAGCACCGCACCCGTACAAAATAATTACGACAGCTGGACAAAAAATTAACAAGACGTACAATAAGACCAATAATCAGACCAATGATACAATTAAGAATAATACTACGAATAAGAATAGCAATACCAATAATACGACTAGTAATAACAATACTATTAAGAAATAAACTAAGAATAATAACAATGTTAAGAGCACGAGTAATAATAATGATAAGAGTGATAAGTGTTGATGTTGGCGGTGCTGTTGGTGTTGGCGGTGTTGTTGGTGTGTTTGATGTTGATGTTGTTGATGGTGTTATTGTCCTTGCTGTTCTAGATATACTTCCTACTGCTGGCATTACTGTCGTTGTTCGTGTTGGTGCCGTGCCGTAAGGGAGTCTTGAGGAGGAGGAGGAGGAGGAGTGTTTCTGTTTAGCTGGGCCAAGGCCTCTTGACTGAGGCCTTGGTCCTCGGCTTGATCCGTAATGGCGAATAAGAGCCAAAATATTGCGAGAATGTCTCAGGCGGTGTGCTTGTTTCGGCGAGCAGACTCGTCTGCGTTCACATAAAAGTGCGAGGTGCCAGGGTAACGTTTCTGGGGTGCCGGGTGCGTTATACTTTCCCCGGAGAGGAGGGGGGTTCTTAATTGCTTCTCCCGGTTAAAGCCAGGACGATTGCGGAAGGCAAGCTCTTCTTTTCTTGCGAATTTATATGCAGCCTGCGGATCATCCCCCTATGGCCATGGAACAGAACAGGAGGAGGGAGGAGGAGGAAGGAGGAGTGACCTATCACTGGGGTGCGGAGGAGGAGGAGGAGGAGGAGGCGCAGAAGGATGATTTAGCACCCCTTCCCCCCCCCACGTCCCAAAGCTCCCAGCTCGCAATCCTTACCCTTCCTCTCCCTCCCCTCCTGGTGGCCCTCCTCCTCGCTCTCCCTCCTTCTCCTCCTCCTCGTCCTCTCCCTCCTCCTCCTCCTCCTCCTTCTCCTCCTCCTCCGCCTCCTCCTCCTATTCCTCCTCCTCCTCCGCTTCCTCCTCCTCCTCCTCCTCCTCCTCCCCCTCCTCCTCCTCTTCCTTCTCCTCCTGCTCTCCTCCTCGCCCTCCCCCTCTCCCTCTCCTCGCCCTTCCCCTCGTCCTCCCCCCCTCCCCGTTTAAGCGGCGAGATGGATGGTGGACGGATGCTGACGGCCGAGGACGGAAGGAGGACGAAGGCATGGAGAAAAGCACAGGCGGAGCGGGGCAGGCCTGGGGGAACGAGCAGACAGCGATACCGCTGCTCCCCGGCCCCTTCTTCCGGGGGTGCGCTCCGGCCAGGGCCCTGGGACGAGCCCCGGCGTGGTGACAAGTGCCACCTGAGAGGCCCAGCAGAGTCGAAGACAAAGCACGGGCATCGGCATCGGGCATCGGCGCGCGTTTCTCCTCAAACTGAAAGATCCGCAACCCCTAGGCACCCCTCTCGACGTCCGTCCTGGCCCGTTGTTCTGCCCAGATCGCATTCTCAGTGTCCCAGGGTCGGGGAAAACATCCTCCGAACGCAGAAAAACTGAGAACAACCTGTGGATCATCAATGCGCCACCTCGTCCGGCGTGGCGGAGGCCCCGTAGCCGATCGGAAACAGCACCTTCAGGGCACCGTAATTGGGAATTCTGCAACAACAAATAGGGCAGAGGCGCACCTCAGAGAGCTTTAGCAGTGGGGTCGAACCATGATCAATTCTTCGCCCTCCCGCTGGATCTGTCCAAGGTTGCCAAGCTCTGGCATCCGTGGCGACCGCCATTATGGAGTTGAAGGAGATCGGGCCAGTGGATCGCACCGCATCGCCGATGCGTCGGCGATGCATCTTCGATGCGTCGGCGTGGAGAAACCCAGGCTGGACATCGAGCAACATCGCCGAGGTATCGGCGATGCGGCGCGATACACCGACCCCCTCTAATCGACTGCACCCAAGAGTGACCCAAATGAGGGCAAGAGTGACCTCGGGGCCGCTGGAGAGGGGGGGGAAGGGAGGGGGGTGGGAGCAAATGCACGCGCACAGGCCAGTGCTGAGAAACACAGTGGGCCCGCACCAAATGTCACTCCGGCGAAGGGTCACTCTTACGTGCAGCCGAGCCCCATCCACTCGGTCAGGCTTCGGGTTGCGCATAGACAGCTCCCCCCCGATACTCCCGGCTGGCCTCAGCAGGCCCCCCAGGTAGTCCAGGGCGGTCTCAACACCCTAACCCTGGGGCGCGGATCGCCCCAGGGGCGCCGCTGGAGGCGGCGCCCATGTGGCGGGACTGCAGAGGCCAGCCAGGACTACCTGGGGCGGGGGCCTGTGCGCAGCCTGAACCTTACCAGATCCACCGACCGAATCTGCTTCGACCGCCTCTGGGGAAACCAAGGGATGCCGACACCGCCACTCCAGGGACCTCTCCCGGGGTAGGCTCTGGCCCAAGTCTCGAGGCGAATCCAGCCTTGGCGACGAGGGCCTCCCACGAGGCCCCAAAAAGCGAAGACGAGGCCAGGGTACCTGTATCGGTACCTGGGCGGCCTGGCTTCCAGGCCGGTCCCTGGGTGTCTCGACCCCTTCTCGGACCGCTTTGCTGTGAAAGTTCACGGCCCCGGGGCCCGCAGAGGGCCCTCAAGCCAGAAACTGTCAAACAAAAACAACCGCAGTGTATTTGTTGTCCAAGAACGCAAGCCTCGGCCACACTCCGGCCGCCCCTCGGCTCGCGCTGGAGCGGACACGCTGTTTCCACCGAATTTCCGTTGAGATGTTGGCATCTACCTGGATTCACTGGGAGGATGAGGAGGAGGAGGAGGAGGAGGAGGAGGAGGAGGAGGGACACGAGGGGGGTAGGAGGAGAAGAAGGAGGAGGAGGAGGAGAAAGTTGGAGGGGAGGAGGAGGAGGAAATAGGAGCAATAGGAAGGAGGAGGAGGAGGAGAGGAGGAGAGAGGGAGGAGGAGGAGGAAGGAGGAGGAGGAGGAGGAGGAGGGAGAGGAGGAGGAGGAGGGAGGAGGAGGGAGGAGGAGGAGGAGGAGGAGGGAGGAGGAGGAGGAGAGAGGAGGAGGAGGGAGGAGGGAGGAGGAGGAGGAGGAGGAGGAGGAGGGAGGAGGAGGAGGAGAGGAGGAGGAGGAGGAGGAGGAGGAGGAGGAGGAGGAGGAGGAGGATGTACCTCAATCTACCTGCATCTACCTGCAGCTACCCAGCCTCCCGCTAAGTCGATCGGCGAAGCGTCGTCGAGATGCCTTGTGCGGCACTGCGTGCCGCGGCGGCGGCCCCGGAGACGCGATCCATGCCTTGCAGGCAGACGGCGTGTCGCTCCGCTCCGTGTGGCGGGGGGCTCGGAAGGGCTCGGGACGTCGCCGCTGTGGAAGAGGGACGTGGACAGCGTGCCGCGTGTCAGAACGCGGTGAGCCCAAACCTGCTGAGCGACACGCTGAGCCAAAGGTCCTGGCCGTGTGCACCGGATGCCTTCGCCGAAGTCCTTGGCTCCCTGGCCAACCAACCCACGTGGCCTCGATCCGCATATATCCGCCACCGTGTCTCGGAGCCCGAAGCAAAGAGTGCCCCAGGCTTCTAGAGTAATCTTGATGTTATGTTCCCCCAATCATACTTAAGGACCAAATCCCAAAAGTAATGTCGAGCTCCCAGACAAAAGAAAGATAAGAAAGATCGAAGCAGTGTCAAACGAGGATCGCCTCTCAGGGCCCGAAACGTGAAAACCCTCCAGTTTCGGTACTTCCTTGGTGCTCGACATTCTTTCTGGTGATCAAGGCTAAGGTGGGTTGGAACAGCATAGCCTTACCTCTGTCTTCAATACTGCAGTGCTGCAGTGCTCTGCTCAGGGACATGCTCCAGGCCGGTGAATCTGGGCTGGTGAGGCTGCTGAGTCTGGGCCGGCATGTCTCGGCGGCCTGGGCCGACCAACTTCCAGCTACGCGCTCCGGGCTGGTAATATCTGGGCTGGCAAGTCTGGCAAGCTCAGTCGATTCAGCTGTGCTCACGTCGGGCATGTCCTCCTACAGGCGCATGCCGAAGGAAATATATGAAACATAATCAAACAACTCCCCACCACTAGTCAAACAGAGTGGGGGAAAAAAAACCTCGTCCCAAAACCATGTCTTGACCAGTCTTGAAACCTCCTCCTGTCGAGGGACACGCCCGACGTCAAGCCGTGCTCCAGGCCTTTGTGGGCCCCGGAAACGGCAGGGCTGTTTTTTCACCGTTTCCAAAAATGTCCCTTGAAAATGGAAACGGCAAAAAAAACACGGCGACCGGACACGGCAACAAAAACGGCTCCAGGATTGGAACCGGAGCCGGAACCGGTCAAAAAACGGCGACGGAACCGGTAAAAAAACGGCGTCGGAACTGGCAACAGAAACGGCAAAATGGAACCGGTAAAAAAACGGCCCTGTCGTTTCCAGGGCCCACTAAGCTCCAGGCCGGTAATTTTCGCCTGGGCGGCCCCGCTTCCCGAGGCCCGCGGCCGCCTCCGCCAGCCCGTGCCGCCCGGCGAGGTGCACGGCCGCCGCCGCCGGCAGCGCCTCGCCGCCGCGGCCGTCCGTGGCCAGCGCCGTCGGCACCGCGGAGCCCGGGGAGAGCGCCTGCAGGAGGGGCCGGCGGCGAGCCCGGCGGAAGGCTCGGAGGTCCCCAAGCCTTCTGAGAAGTTTTATAAGCCTTCCCCGAAGACAGAGACAACTTCTCAGAACGCGCGAGGGCTGCGGAGGAGTCCCGCCGCCCTCTGAGAAGGCCTTTTCGTCCTCATTTGCCCCGGGGGCGTCTTGCCGCGGGGGGCGGGCCGGGAGCTCTCGATAGCAGAAGCAATAGAAGTAGCAGTAGAACTCGCAATAGCCGTAGCACTAGCAATACTGGCGCAAGTACTAAGAAGAGTAGCAGCAGTAGGAGCAGCAGCAGTGGTAGTAGTACTAGTACGAGTAGTAGCCGTAGTAGAAGTAGTGTGGTAGAAGTAGTGGTACTAGTGAGAGTGGTAGCAGTAGCAGTAGCAGTAGTAGTCTGAGCGTCCGAATTAGACGTGACAAAAGTAGTAGTAGAGGTGGTATAGGAGACGTCGTACTAGTAGTTGTAGCACTTGTAAGAGTAGTAGGTATGGTTGTTGTTGCGGTCGCAGCTGTGCTTTTAGTCGTACTTTGTAGTCGAAGTCGTAATAGTAGTAGTAGTAGTAGTAGTAGTAGTAGAAGTAGTAGTCGTAGTAATAAACGAAGTAGTAGTAGTAGTAGTAGTAGTAGTAGCAGCAGTAGTAGTAGTAGTAGTAGTAGTAGTAGCAGTAGTAGTAGTCACGAGCCAAATAGTAGAACTAGTAGTAGTAGCAGTAGTAGAAGCAGTAGAAGTAATTGTAATAGTAGCTTTCGTAAAAATAGTCAGACTATTAGAAATGATAAGAGTAGTGGTAGTAGTAGTAGTAGTAGTAGTAGTAGTAGTAGTACTAGTCGTAGTAGTAGTAGTAGTAGTAGTAGTAGTAGTAGTAATAGTAGTAGTAGTAGAAGAAGAAGTAACAATAGTATTAGTCGTAGTAGTCGTATTAATAAAAGTGAACGTATTCGTGGTAGAAGGAGTAGTTGTAGCCGTAGCAGCAGGTCGTAGTAGAAGTAGCTGTAGTATGAGTCGTAGTAGTAGTAGTGATAGTAGTAGTAGTAGTAGTAGTAGTAGTCGTCGTCGTAGTAGCACAAGTAAAAGTAGTAGCTGTAGCAGTAGCAGTAGCAGTAGCTGTAGCTGTAGCAGTAGCAGTAGTAGTAGCTGTAGCAGTAGCAGTAGTAGTAGTAGTAGTAGTAGTAGTAGTAGTAGTACCAGTAGTAGTAGTAGTGGTAGTAGTAGTAGTAGTAGTAGTAGTAGTAGTAGTAGTAGTAGTAGTAGTAGTAGTACGGGTGGTAATAGTAGTGGTACTAATAATAGTGGTAGTTGTAGCAGTACGAGTCGTAGTCGTCGCCGTAGTCGTAGTAGTCATTGTAGGAATAGGTGTAGTCGTAGCCGTAATACCTTTTATATTCGAAGTAAGGGGTAATATGGGTGGTGCTAGAAGTAATCGTAGTAGTAGTACTACTACTACTACTACTACTAGCTGTTGTTGTGGTTGTAGTTGTAGCCGCAATAGTTGTAGTAGTAGTAGTAGTCGTCGTCGTAGTAGGAGTAGCAGCAGCAGCAGCAGCAGCAGTAGTAGTAGTAGTAGTTGTAGTAGTAGTAGTAGTAGTAGTAGTAGTAGTAGTAGGAGTAAAAGTAGTACTACGAGTAGTAGCAGTAGTAGTAGTAGTAGAAGTAGCAGTAGTAGTAGAAGAAGTAGAAGTAGTAGTAGTAGTAGTAGTAGTAGTAGTAGTAGTAGTAGTAGTAATCGTAGTAGTAGTAGTAGTAGTAGCAGCAGCAGCAGCAGCAGCAGTAGAAGAACTAGAAGTAGTAGTAGTAGTAGAAGAAGAAGAAGTACGAGTGGTAGTAGTATCAGCAGCAGTGGCTACTCCAACCATTTCTGATGATCCGATTATCTCGGAGAAGCTCGATGAGAAAATCTGTGCGAGAAGCCGGCTGAGTCCAGTTTTCTCTGGCACGGCTCAAGCACGCGCAACGTTTTCCGACGTTCGCGCGAAGGCTCAGCGAGACTCCCCGCTCATAAAGGCGCCCCAGATTCGAGCACTGCCGCTGCCCCGATCCGGCACCATTGCGATCATACACCCTCAATGCTGGTCGCCCCCCGCAGCCGCCCTTGCGGCCGCCCCGCATGCCGGCTCGTGCGGCGATTTTGCACAACAAGGAAACAAATTGGAACCGCCCAGCCGCAAGCGCCAAACCATCCAGCGCAACAGGCCGGGTCATCCAGAAATAGACCATGCTTCGCCCAGAAATACACCAGACCACCCGTCAAAGCAGTCTGGACCACCCAATAAAAACCAGACTTCGCCCGTAAGTGAGCCAGACCACCCGTCAAACGGAGCCAGGCCATCCAAACGTATACCAGACCCCCCCAAAAAGTAAACCAGACCACCAGTCGAACCGCCCTGGGCTGCCCAAAAGTAACGCAGCCTCCGCCCAAAATTTCCTGGTGAAGGACCCAACCATATGCAGTTGTGAGTGCGGTCGTTGCGGGTATCGTTTTCAGGGGGTCTCCTCATGGGGCCATGAAGCATGCGAATGGTGTGCCGATGTGGGGCGGGGCCGCCACTTGGGCGCTGCCACTGGTGTTCTCTAAGCGGAACGCACTACGGGGCCGCGAGAAGTGTCAGAGGTGCGCCGCAGCGAGGCGGGGCCGCCACTGGTGCCTTCGGTGGAGCTCTCTATGGGGCCACGAAGCAGCGCAATGGGCAGGGGAAGCGCATGCGAGTGCAGCCACCGGGGCCTTCGGTATAGCTTCCCATAAGCCACGAAGCACTGTGCTGCGTGGGGGGAACGCATGCGAACACCGCCACTGGGGCCTTCGGTGGAGCTCCCTATGGGGCCACGAAACGCTGCACTGGGAGGGGGAACCGCATGCGAGTGCATCCACTGGGGCTTTCGGTGGAGCTCCCTATAGGGCCACGAAGCGCCGTCCTGGGTGAGGGGTGACGCATACAAGCGGTGCTACTGCGGCCTTCGGTGGAGCTCCCTATGGGGCCACGAAGCGCTGTACTGGGTGGGGGTGACGCACGCGGGCGGTAGCACTTGGGCCTTCGGTGGAGCTTCTTATGGGGCCACGAAGAGCTGTACTGGGTGGAGGGTGACGCATGCGGGCGGAGCACTGGGGACTTCGGTGGAGCTACCCATGGGGCCACGAAACGCTGTACTGGGTGGGGGTGACGCATGCGGGCGGTGGCACTGGGGCCTTCGGTGGAGCTCCTGGGCGGTAGACAGCCTGGGAGCGGGCATTACACGCGTGAGCCGGGGCGCCTCGTCGAAGACTCAAAGAAATGGGCGATCGGAACCACTATACACGTCGTTCATTTCTAATTGTGCTCGTTTCCAAGTGTGCTCGTTTCTAAGTGTTCCTGGCCCCCTAGTGGCCAGGAAGAGGCCAAGGATAGAACAATCAGAAATGAAAGGATCTTGGCCCGCAAAAAATCCGGGACATTGCCGAAGAAATAGGAATGAGCAATGTGGAAATGAGGAACCTGTGCTGAGCGTGCCGCGGCGCCGGCTCAGGAGGCCGGGAAGAGCTCGGGATGGTGACACCTGGGGACCGGGACGTGGTGGGCGCGTCGCGCCAGAGCCAGCGGCGCGACACGCTAACCACGGCTTCCTGACCGAAACTGCACGTCTGGCCAAGAACTTTGCATGCGATGTCGCGGCGGCGGCCCCGGCGACACGCCATGCCCCGCAAGCAGACAGCGCGTCGCCGCGTGCGGCGTCAGAGCGCGGTGGTCCAGAGCCAGCGGCGCGACACGCCAAGCAAGAGCTGCCGACCGCAGACGCACGGAATGCTTGAGGCCCCTGGGCTCACCGCCTCTGCTGCCGCCGCCGGGTTTCGACCGTAGTGAATCTTTTTGTCAGCCTCCCCGCGCCCGCGATGGCACGGCGAAGCCGACGAAGGACGTGCCCGGCTCGCACAAGGCGCGGTACTCGCCGTGCGCCAGCTGGCACAGAGCGTCCCACTCCGGGAGCCCACGCAGGGCCACCTCGAACGCGGCCACGGCCTTCTGGGCAGCGTCTGACCGATCTCCCCGTCTCCACTGGCATGGCCTTTGCCCCACTGGCCGACTTCCAGTCTAAACCGACAGAAAGGATGCACATGAGAGGATACGAGGGCCTTGGAAGGTCGCGTTGGCACTTTTCGAGCGGGGAGCGGCCTGAAACCTGAGGATGCAGACAGGGATGCAAGGGCTACCCTGGACAGCTGCTCACCCTTATCATGGATTTTGACTCCG